CGTGGCGGAGTAGAAACTGGTCGTTCATTTACTGAAGACACTCGTACCACAACTAATTCTCGGCAAAAAACAATTTTGAAAGCTGATCGTAGGATTTCGTCAGATTTATTTGGTAGTTTGGCTTCTGATCAACTTGCAAATGAAGGAAAACTTTCAGCACCTACAACCCCTGATAGAACTCAGACAACGATTATTGAGAATAAAGAATATCCTCGAACCGCAAATGAATCATCAAGCATCGTAGAGTCACCAACTACTACTTCATCTTCTGAAATTGATGTGGATTTCACACAAGAATTTCGCGTTAAATCTCTCTATTCTTATTCTGGTAATGGTGCAGACGATCTTCCATTTGAGGCTGGAATTTCTTTCTTGGCACATCCGTCCAAAATTCAATCAAATGCGGATTGGTGGTATGGTGTGATTGAACAAACTGGTGCAAAAGGCTGGTTTCCCAAATCATACGTTGAAGTAATTAAAGAAGGTACAATATAAGAAATCATTGATAATTATCTGTTTAAAAAAAAAATATATTTTTAATCATTTATATTTATTAAAAATTTAGAAAAGGAAATTTGTAAAGCTAAAGTTTTATACGAATGGAAGGCACAATCTCCTGACCAACTTGACATTAGACAGGGTAACGTCATTTCTATACTCGACAAGTCCTTGGGTGATTGGTGGAAGGCTGAATATGAAGGCGCTAAAGGAATTATTCCATCCAATTATGTCGAGGAAATTTCTAGTTATAGCGGTTAGTGTTTGACTTTAATCTTGTTGGTATAAATTGAATTTTTTATAGCGAAAGCGTATGTGTGGTGATGTAAGATTCAATCATCCTTCCTTTCACATACATTATTCTTCATTTTACTTAATTTTCAAAAAAGCAAGTACAGAAACATAAAACTACATATGTATTGTCAAATAAAGGCCAATGTAATATTATATTCTTTATTTATATTTTTGTGTGTGGATAAAATAATGAAAATTTTCTTTTACGTCTTTTTCTACTCTTTTTTTTTAATTTTAATTTTCTGTCCTGCATTACGGTTGGGGCAAAAGTCCAAAACAAATTAGATAAGGATATGACAGGTGAAGATGAAACAAGTAACGATGACACAAGTGAAGATGAATCTAATGAAACTAATGGCGATATACGTTCAAAAAGTGATATTGTTAATGATTCAAAATCAGACAATATTTTTGACATAGTTTTTACGGACCCTATAACGATACCAAAATTTAGCATTCAATCTCCTAAAAATGCTAGTTTTATAAAAAGTCCAATAGATATAGATTCTAGATCAGCCTCACCGAATTCATCAGAACCTACTGAGTTTGTAAGAAGTCCAAGCCCAACAAGATTATTTGGTTCTAGTCCAATTATCACTGTTCCATGGATGCAAGTTGGATCATTTAAAAGAGAGCGTAATAATTCTACAGATTCTAATCTTAATCCACAAATTATGCCGCAAAGACCCGAAAGTCCAGTTTCAATTAACCAAGTATGTTAAAATTATATAACTTGTTCGCAAAAAGATAGTCATTGACTGGCTCATAAATTTTATCTGTTCTCATTTAATTGTTCTAATAAAAGGGACCTTCTGCGCCATTATGGGCAGGAATCATGGACTCTAAAACACTGGAAAGTATATCTAAAGAAGAGCGTAAACGACAAGAAGCCATTTATGAATTAATAATCACGGAACAAACATATCTTCGTGATCTTCAAATCATAATTGAATTGTTTTATGGCCCTCTTCAAAGTCTCCTTTCCGAACAGGACTTATCAACTATATTTTGTAACATTCAGGACATTTTATTATGTAATACTACTATTCTTAGCGATCTGGAGCAACGCCAAGAGGAAGATGCCTATTTTGTTAGTAAAGTTGGAGATATTTTGCTCAAACATTATGAAAATTTAACGCTATATACGAAATATTGTGGTAATCAATTGAACGCAACCAAATTCTTACAAAAAAAATGTAGTGTAGATAAAAAATTTGCTGATTTTCTTAAGGTAATTCACAGATAACAATAGAAGCAGAATTAAGAAATTTAAGACAAAATTAATTGTACATTTATTCTGCTATAGAAAATTCAACAAGATCCGCAATGTGGATCATTGGATCTTTCTAGCTTTCTGTTAAAGCCACTACAACGAATCACTAGATATCCCTTATTAATACGTCAGGTAATAAAATTTTGTATGTATTCCTTCCTATATAACAATCTCATATTTCTGATCTATTATTTTTTACATTTCTTTTGTTAACAGATATTGCATTATACAAGCAAAGACAATATCGACCATCAAAATATGATGCAGGCCCTTCATAAGGCAGAAAAAATCCTGGAAGAAACAAACGAGGCAGCACGTGAGCAGGAGAACCACATGAAATTGAATGAAATATCAAATCTTGTAGATTTAGAAAATCTAGAAGAGGTAAATGTTTTTTCACGTGAATACTGTGACTTACTGTCTTTAAAAAATTTTTTTCTTATTTATTTTTTTGTTTAAAGAAACTTGACTTGACTAGTATGACACGTCTTGTTGGAAAACGACAATTCATTCTTGAAGGACCGTTAAAGAAAGCTAAAAGTGGACGCAATTTGCATGGATATCTTTTTAATGATATATTACTTCTTCGTCATTCAAATAAAAAAACAACTGCCAAGGGACACAAATATTCCTTGTACAAGCCGGTAATTTATTTATTTATTTTTGTCATTGTGTTATATTATTTATAAGTTGCGTAATTTGAACTTTTGCTAATATTATGTAGCCAATACCTTTGAATGAAATATTTGTAAAAGATAGTGGACTAGGTTGGTTTACTTGTAAGCTTGTTTCGTATTATGATTTTACGTATATGATTTATTTGACCTTTTTTTTTTTTTTGTTTAATAGATGAAACGTGTTTTCAAGTTGTACATATAGAGGATGTTATAAACCTTCGAGCAAGCAATGTATCCGTGAAACGGCAGTGGGTTAATCAACTTGAAACCGCGAGCGGATATTGTCTTGCGGTAGAAAGAAAGATTCAAAAAGGAGGTATTTATTTAGAACAACACATACTTGTAACTTAATTGAATATAATTGAATAAGATGCTTATTACTTTGAATGCCAACTATAATCATCCCATAATTTACAGAAAGTTCCTCCTCACCTATGGATCACAACCACATTAGTGGCACACTCAGGGTTTTAGTGTACAACGGTGTGGTTCCATCTGAGCATGGTTAGTATTTTTTTACAATTGGCATGGGCTGATAAATTCGTAGAGATTAACACAGCGATCTTGATTTTCAATAGAGTCAGAAAAGTTTAATATACATGCGTATTGCCAGGTGCAATTGAACAGACAAATCTTCAAGACAAAAATTGTTAAGGGCACTGTTTCTCCACACTGGAATCAGGTAATAAAGAAGTTTATTAACCTATTTATCTTTATTGGTTTTTTTTTCTTATTAATTTGACTTGATCATCTTTATTTAGCACTTGATGTTTTCTGTAATAACTCTAGAGGATACATTAAAAGTCACATTATTTAATTTTGATAAATATACAACAGATGAATATTTAGGACAAGCAGAAATTGGTTTACATTTCCTAACATATTATGGAGATAATGAAACCGATAAAATTAAATTAGAATTAAAGGACATACCACCGGGCAAATCCGGTGGCTATGTGTCAATTTTCCTAAGTTATAAAGCAACCAACTAATTTATTACTAATTATACTTAAAAAACATTAATTACTGCTAAAATAGAATATAATAATCTTAATACACAATTGTAATTTTTACAAATACATTCCGTTTATTTAATTATACATATATATCAAATATACAGTATATTGCACAATTTTCTCTCAGAGAAATGTAAATGTTAAGTGTAAATTTATCATGATTTAAAATTATAAATAAAGCGTAAGTATACAATTCTTGCAATGTACCATATAAATTACAAATGAAATATACAAATTAAAGTATATAGAAAATATAAAGTCAAATATATATATATATATTATAAAGAAGATTAATTGCCACTTTCCATCCATTTCCAAATTCTAGTTGATAATTCTTCTTTTCGTAAAATATAAGACTTTCTTTTATCTGGTTTTGCAAGACTCCACATACAAACCCATGTTCGTTTTCCAACCCAACGCATTCCTTCCCATAACAACATGGTTCCATACGCAACCGCTGTCCAGAAGAAAAAGAACAGGAAAGAACCGAAAATAAAAACTTCACGATCGTTAAAATTATATAATCCAAATCTTCGGATAAAATGTATAGTTAATATCGAATAGACTAAATCAAAAATAATGAAAAAAAAGATTCCTGTCATCATCTTCCACGTGGCAATCACATATCGACCAGGCCATCGCGTAATAGCTAATGAATTTTCATCATATAACATAGTATTTTCACCCTGTTTTTTCCCGACATATTGAGCGATGAGTCCAATTGGACAGAAGAAAATTAACCCAGGAATTGTTAAAACAATTAAGAACAAGTAAAGTGGAAGATATAGGATTAATGATATTGGCTTTACAGACAAATGAGGTAGTGATAGATTATGTCTGCGAAGCGCATGAGCATAAGAAACAGTATCCCATTTTAATTGTTTGACCTCTTCTGTCAGAGCCGAGGAATATTTCTAAAAATAATTTAATGAATAAATAAATAAATTTAATGAATAAATATAATAAAATAAATATAATTATACCTTTGCTATTCTTCGTAGCAGAACCATTTTATCCGAAAAGCTCAAATTCTGCGCTAATCTTTCCCGATATAACTTTGATGCTGTTTTAAAGAATAAAAGAGTTTCAAAATCTGGTGCATTGACTGTTATTTCTGTCAAAGATGTATGAATAGTCTTTAAAAGTTGTTGGGAAGCTATCAAAGGAAAGAATAAATACATTGAATTTAACAGGGATTAATGATAAAATATCAATCAATATTAATGATCATTAATAGGGAAATGTAATAAAACCTTTACGCTTAGATTCATCTCCGGCACGATACATTTCTATCAATTCATTATCAATTTCTATTGTAGGACCAATTTCGACAAACACACGACTTCGAAACGAATGACGATCAAAAAAGTTCAATCCACAAGGTACGAGTTTTAACCTTCTCGGATTTCCTGAGGCATCAGGTTCATTAGATGCCAGATAACCCAAGCTCATAACTGCACAACCATACTTTAATGATAACATATGCTCATTATCGTGTGATGTACCCTCAGGAAATATAGCTATACAATTAGATTTGGCAAAATGACTATGCACAGCAGAGTAAACTTCAGAATGAGGGGGCATACGAGTATAAGAATAAGTTGTTGGAATGTCCGGAACAGTATAAATGTTTGAACTCCTTCGACTACTTGAAGAACTTTCAGGAATTAAAGGAGTATGCTCAGTTACTTCCTGATTTGATGAATGAATAACAATATCATTAGGCTGCTCATCAGAAACTGGTGAAGTCAACACTCCAGGAGAAGAAGACAATCTATCAATAGTTCTTGTCACATTTTTTGGTAAAAATCTTTCCAAATTTGTTAAAGTACTCTCACGATCAACACGAATAACAAAACTACCATATTCTACTAAACGTTTTAATTGTCCTTTACGTTTTCCTTTAGTGGACCACTTCATTCCTGGCTCTTTTATGCGTACTTTATCATTACTGATGATTTCTTCAACAATACCACTTGCTTCTTTCAACATTTCATGGTCAGGTTCTTCAAATTCTACATATAATGCATCACCAACTTTAAGTTCATTACCAAGATCATCACCTATTACTACTCTTCCTTCTTCGATAACCCTTACTAAGCCAACTCCATCAACTTTTTTAACATCAAATGGCCTCGTAACTGGTATGCACCCAATCATGGTCATAAGTGTACCGAAAATAGGATAATCGAAGTTGGATCGTGCGCTTAAAAAGTACACATATCTTGGACACTTTATAAAAATTGTAATTGCATCCATTAAAAAATTTCCATGGGGGGCGGCAATAAATAATATTGGAGTACCATCGTCGGGAGGAATATTTTCTGAATGAAATACACCATAATCACGATAAAAGACTTTAAATACTATATGAGTCAAAAAACGTAATATAACATAAAATGCAGTTCTCACAGCAGTAACGAATGACATGATTACTCAATATATTTTTTTTTTCTTAAAAAAAAAAAAAAAAAAAAAACCAAATAAAAAATTAATAAAATTTACAAATAAAATAAAAAAAAAAAACCGGAGATTAAATCTTTCCCGCCAAATTAATTTTTTTTTTCAAATATT